GTCGGCCAGCGTCACGCTGCACGTGCTGCTGGTGGACGGCTTCTCGCAGCCCTACCTGCCGGCGGCCGAGGCGGCGCCCGAGCGCGCGCAGCCCGCCTCGCTCACCGCGCACCTGGTGGTGGCGCTGGCCGCCGTGTCGTCGCTCTTCCTGCTGTCGCTGCTGCTCTTCGTGGCGCTCAGGCTGTGCAGGAGGAGCGGGCCGGCCGCGCTGGGGGTGTGCTCGGCGGCGCCCGAGGGCCCCTTCCCTGCCCACCTGGTGGACGTCAGCGGCACGGGGACGCTGTCGCACTCCTACCAGTATGAGGTGTGTCTCTCTGGAGGTACTGGGACCAACGACTTCAAATTCTTGAAACCGATTGCCCCCAATATCCTGCTTCAAGACACTTAAGAGACCTATTGGAGAATGTCAATTGCAGGAATAACTTAACTTTCATTAAAACCAGGTTAGTCTGTTGCTATTGATGATTATTTTCATCAAAAGTCAGTAGTTTAATATTTGTATGCATATTGAAGCTGCTTTGTAGTTATACGCTAATTCCTATTTTCCTGTTTGCAAATTCTTGCCCCTTAACGGATTTATAATGCTTTACTTAGAACAGTATTAAATTATTTTTAATAGTGATTTCACGTGTTTACGTAATAGCTCATTTTCAATTCTATATTCTAAGGTAGTTTAGACAGATTTTCAGCATACTAGTTTTTAATTTCTCCCCTTCAATATATGTGTGTAATATGCTTTATAATTTTCCTAAAAATTTTGTCTATGTTTAATGAAGTTTGAGGAATAGTGCTTTTTCTTTATGATGTAGCAATGTATCATTTTTGTATGTACATTATTTCAAATAAACGTAGCACATTTAATTCATTTTCATATTGCTAATAATTAGGACTTAAATATTATATAGTTTTAGTAGGATCCATAAGTGCACACAAAGTATAACCAATGAAGCAGATTACTCAGTCACTCTAGGGTTGCTGAGAAAGACCTATGAGGAAAAAGTTAAAGCTAAGCCCTTTGAACAGCAGATTGCATTTTACATCTTGCATGAAACCTTATTTACCTGTGCATGTCGTGAAACATACATGTATTTGGCTTGTGAGTTATGAGAAGTGAATGTAAAGTCCTTAAGTTTATTTTTAAATTGCAAAAACTACATGGATAAATCATCTCTAAATTCCTTTAGCAAAAGTATTGTTCCATTGAGCTCTGCCTCCTTATTGATACCTACTTACTGTATAAATGAGAAATATTTTTTCCCTGTGTTAGTACCCTCCTTCAGATTATAATCAGACATGACAGGGTTATTTGTGTATGGTTTTGTTTGAATAAAAATGGCCCAGCATCATCAGCATTCCAGTTCCTACATCATAAATAATCAAGATGTACAAGTTTAGGAAGTTCTAAAGAAAAAAAACAATATTGTGAAAATCTAAATTAGCTACAATACCAAATAAAATCTGCAAACTACCAAAAACATGAAAACATATGACTGTTCTATGAAATAGAAATATTTAAAGTTACAAAATATTTAGCCCCAAATTAGAGAAATTTATTAGGAAAAAATTCTCCTCATAGATATTTACCATTTAGAGAGAGAGAGAGAGAGAGAGAGAGAGAGAGAGAGAGAGAGGTTTCAAGGAATTAAATATGCATGAATAGAAGAAATAGAATAGAATCAAAGTTCCAAAAATTTGGAAAATTACCAAAAGTGGAAGAATTTAATATTGCTACTCCTTCAATCACATATATTAAGTATAGTTATGATCACATTTAAATGGTGCCATGCTAGAGGTACAGCTCTGTCGTGGAGAACATGCTTAGCATGCAGAAAGCCCAGGATTCAATCCCCTATGAAAGAGAGAGAGAGAGAGAGAGAGAGAGAGAGAGAGAGAGAGAGAGAGAGTAGAAAATGGCATCATTTAATGCAATAAACATCAAATGCATGAACCCTTTAATCAGAGAATAATATTTTCTTTTATTCTAAGTACCTTATGAGTTTGATTTTTTTTAACCAAATTGTTTTCTTATATTTAACTGAGCTTCTATGAGCATAAAGAAATGGGCAAAAGATTCTATTCAAGAGTTCTTTTAGGGCTGGCCAAATAGCTCAGTGGATTCAAGTGCCTGCAAGCAGGCACAGGGGCCAGTTTCAATCCCCAGGCCTGCTGTGCCGGCCCCACCCCCAGAGTGTGCTGAGATGGAGATTGAGAATGGGTGTGGTGGCATGCCTGTAATCCCAACTCTTCGGAGGCTATAAACAGGAGGATCACTACCAGTCTGATCTAGTAGTAAGACCCTGAACACCCTGTAGATCCTTCACTAATATATATATATATATATATATATATATATATATATATATGAGTTCTCTTTACTTCATTGCTTTAGTGTCTAATAATGTCAGAGTTGAAGAAATATTCAATATATAATATGCTGAGCTGTAAAAGGCTCAAGTCAACAACTTTGGACAACTGCCAGTTGTGCTGATAACTCACTACTATTATAGACTACTGTGCTATATTGGATTACTTTGCTGAACTCATGCACCTACAATATATGAATAGCAATGGAATACCCCTCTCTGACAAAACTAAACAAAAAAGGGGAATATAAATGAAGGAGCATTTTGTAGTGAAAAAAATATATATGTATATACAAAATAGTTACCATAGATATACAGCTACTTTCTGTTAGTTCAATGAGAAGATTTGAGCTAATAGTGTTTAGACAAGATATGTCTGCATCTTGTACTATGAATAACTACTATGAAGACAACAATATGCAATGTATTAATTATTGTAACTGTCCTACTAACCTGTTTTGAAACTGTCTCATTGTTACTTCTTTCTAAATAAAATTAACATAAAAAATCTCACAATGTAGCGAAAAATCCATGATAAATAATTTAGATTAATATTTTTGAAAACCTATGAAACTGAGTCCATGAAAGTTGAATCATAAAATAGCAAGGGACTACTGTATTGTGTAGTGTTATCTTCAAAGTATTCAAAGTGGTTGCTCAGATTATATGATATAGGCATGAAAGATTGATTAAACAATATAAGCACAAATCATTCTTTTCAGTTAATAGAAACCATACTATAATTGCCCTTAGCTGAGACATATATATGTATAGATATACACCTACATATATATACTTTTTCATTTGTTTCTTTCTATATTTTGGAGCTTATTTACTCTTTCAGCTTGTTACACTAGGAAGACAATGCAATGTTTAGACCCAGAAATCTGATTAATTTTATGTATAAATATGGTTTCAAGTTATATCTGTTTACCTATAGAAGTCTTAGGTTTATCCTTCTTATTAGCTGAGTATTAGTTCACTGTAAAAAAAAATGACTTTTTTAATCCTTTCCTTGGTTAATGAACATATGGCTTGTTTCCAAGATTTAGCTACTACAAACTGTGCTTCTATAATCATGGGTGCACATATATTGCTGTGGTATGATGACATGTCTTATTTATCTGGGAATTTACCCAGAAGGGGAATAGTTAGGTCAAATGGGACCTCTACTGTTGGTGTTTTGAGGAATCTCCATATTGATTTCCAAAGTAGTTGTATAGACCTACACTCCCAACAAAGTGGAGAAGGGTTCCTTTGTCCCCACATCCTGGCAATCATGTGTTATTGGTTATTTTTTTGATGACATCAATTCTTACTGAGGTCAGAGGGAATCTCAGTGTTATTTTAATTTGAATTTCTCAAATGATGAATGATGTTCAACTTTTTTTCGTATATTTATTTGCCATTTGTATTTTTCCATCTGATGGTACATGTTCTGTTCAACTCAGATGCCCATTTTTGGATTGGGTCATTGAATCTGGGGTCCTGATTCTTTGCAATTCTTTATATGTACAAGATAGAAGTCTTTTTTTGAAGGTCAGTTGGCTAATTGTGTTCTTTTTATTTCTTGGCAGATTGTCTTTTCACTTAGTTGGTGATTTTTTAATTTTTTATTTACTTTATCTTTTATTATTTCTATACAGGATATCACTATACAGTTTGTACTCATAGTGATCCTCCTGTCTCAGCCTCCCCCATGCTGAGATTGCAGGCATGAGCCACCATGCCTAGTTTCATGGCTGGCATGGCATGGGTATCAGGGATTGAACTTGGGTCCTACAACTCTGCCAGGCAGGTGCATATGCCACTGAGATATCTCCCCAGTCCAGTGCTTTCTTTTGATGTGGAAAAATTCTTCAATGAGATGAGAGCCCAGTTGATTCTTTGAAATACAACCCTTGTGATTTGGGTTTTGTTCATGAACGCTCTGCTTACACCTTCAAGATCTACTTTTTCTTCCAGTAAATTTAGTGTTTCTGTTTTAATATTTAGATCTTTAATCCATTTTTACCTAAGCTTAATACATGGTGACACACATGGTTCTAATTTTAGTCTTTGGCATTGGAAATCCTCTTGTTTCAGCACCATTTATTAAAAAAGATAGCTTTTCTCCAGTGAAGGTGTTTGGCCCCTTTGTAAAAAAAAAAAAAAAAAAGATAAGGTGGCTCTGCGTGTTTGTAGTTGTAGTCTGAATCTTCTAATCTTCTAATCTTTTCCACTGATCCTCAGGACTGTGTTACTGACAGTACCATGCTGATTTTATCACTATGGCTTTGTAGTATAAATTCAAGACAGAGCTTGTGATGCTTGCTGCCTTGATTTTGTTGCCCAAGATTGCCACTGCTATTTTAGGTCTCTACTGTTTCTAGATGAATTTCAGGAATGTTTTCTCTTTTTTTTTTCTTTTTTGCCATAATTTTATTGATAAACAAATAGCAATGAGACAGTTTCAAATCAAATCACTACGACAGTTTCAATAACTAACACACTGCATACATTCTTTTTAGTGGTTAATTGCTGTACAAGATGAGGACTTGATATCCTATTTACAAACACCATTAGAATAAACCATTCTATTCATTAAGAGAATGTAACTATATATCTATCCTAACCACTTTGAATACACAGATACAAAATGGACATTCATCTGTACCATTTTTTTGTTAAGTTCCATTATTTGAATATTATAGGTCTGTAAACGCAGCAAAATATTCTAAAACAGTCCAGCAGCCCATAATAGTATTGGGTCTTCCTCTTAACTGGCAATGTCAGAAATTGTTGACCTCAGTCCCCCACAGCTGAACATAACAGCATGGCTTTACTTCCTATATTTCGTCTTCATACTTTTCTACGGGATGGTTAAGGCCAAGGTAAAGCAGGACCTATGCAACAAGAGTTGTAGCTTTTGGGTCGGAGAGGGTCAGTGAAATCCCCTCAGGATTTATCCTGAAATCCTGTACCTCCGATTGTAGAACCTTTGTCACTGTCAGCCATGTGGATGAGTCAAGGCCATTGCTTGGCCAATGTGCTCTCTGTGAAAGCCTGAGAGAATGTTTTCTCTCCATGTGACTCTCCTTAGGCACACTCTACATCACTGATCATTTTCCTCTTTGGTCCCATAATCTCCTTGATTAGAAAATTTGGAACACTACCGAGTTACATGACGTTACAGTACAAGTTCTCATATGTCCTGAGTTTTAATTGACCTTAGAAGGTTAGGGCCAAAATGATGGCTTTCCTTGCAGTCCTCCTTTTTCTCTAATTTTGGTCTGCAAACTTAGGTTGTTAACCATCCAGAAGACAAGCTTATTGTTATTATCAAACAACTTAGGCTAT